TCTGCCGCTTCTCACAAAACGCAGATTTCCCTTACTTCGTCAGACAATCCTTCGCTTTTGGCGAAAATCATCCACGGAGCCCCCTAAACACGACATACCTCCCCCAAATTCATCCACGGAGCCCCCTAACCTTCCCCCCGGGACGCCCACCACCNAACCTTCCCCCCGGGACGCCCACCACCCTTCTCAGTGCCTGCTTTTGTACACTACGGACACCACATGATTGGATTTGTACAGATAGCACGAAGAAAAGTTGGTCGACGACACCCATAGGGAGAAATACCATCACTTCTATATAACTTTGACGAATCTCTGCACACACAAACGAAAATATTTATAAAGCAGTATTGTTTACTGCTGTATATTGCTAATACTCCGTATACAAGGTTGGCACGAAGAACGGGAAATACGCACCAAGCACACAACACAACAAACCTCGGCCAAGCTGTTAAGCAAAATTTTGTGCAGCACTAAAAGACACACATCACTACGCATCGTTCTCGGCCTCTTTTTCCTCTCCCTCCTGCTCCATGGCCCGCTTCTTCTCCTTTTCCTGCTTCCACTTCTTGAATGTCCTTTTCGCTCTCGTCCACGTCCATCAAAATCGTGCCGTCATGGCCACCCGAGAGCGCACCGCCAGCGCCTGGAGATGGAAGATCATGTTGCTGCGTCGGCTTCGGTTTCTTCGAAACCGCTCGGCCATCGGCTCCGCGCGGGCCGAACGTCTTCTTCTTGGATTGTCCCTGAGGCTTCCCCATGGTGCTTGCGTGCGTCTTTCGTGTTTTCGGGCCGCCACGTGTGCGTGTTGTTGTGTGTTCGTCTTGCCCAACGAAAAAAATCTCCAATGGGGACGGCACAACAAAAAGTTGAATATCTCGGAAACCAGATTTTTCCCGAGAAAAACCACAAATACCGACCTAGATATTGAGGAGAGGAATCGTTTGCCGCTGTTTATTTTGAAATCGGTCGGTTAGTTATCCCCCGAAAAACAATACAAGTTAGCCCTCTAGATCCGTTTTTTCTCTGATATCTCCGTGAATTTACAATATTTTGACCAAAAAAAAATACCGACCTGGCAAATCCCGACATCTGTTCAAATTCGTTGAGTTTTTTCGAATCGGCAAAGAACACACCCCTCCCTGCGAAAACAATTCAAGTTTTTCCGGTTTTGCGCCGATAAAAAGTCAAGAAAAAAAAACAAAAAAACTCTCCGTCACGCGATGCGCCTGCAAACAGGGCGTTTTCGGTACTTTCAGATTTCGGAACAGCCACCTGTGGGCAGAGAAAAGTTGTCATTTGTGCTGGGAAAATTTTGGATTTTTTTGTGTGCACGGACTATACCTCTACTTCAAGTTGTTTAAAGGGGGAGTTGCAGGAGGAGAGAGAGGAGACAGAGGAGAGAGAGGAGACAGGCAGCCGAGATAGACTGGCCGATAGCCCGTTCTTCAACTTTGGGTTACAAGGGGGGAACGGAAAGAAAAGACTGCGAGGAAAAAAACAGCGCGAAAAACATGCAAGTGAACATCGTGGTTACGACCTTCAATGTAGTGAAAGGTCACCTTGTAGTAGCATAGAGAAAACACGGTTTGCTTACGTGACACGACTCGCTCATACCTGGAAATATCTCATCAACTACAACCTTGCGCAAAAGCTCTTGGGTTTTCTCGGTAGTTCGACATGGGAAGCTGTTGAATATAGTATCTACCATTTGCAACCTATAAGTCGGGCAGCAGATCATCTGCGATGTGCGCCTGTAAATGTAAGCAGTGGCCTACACCTGCCTAGACTATACCGTAGGTGACACAAGATACCATACCCCCTGGACCGATTTTCAAAGCTCGATTAATCCACGACGAAACGGATGCGTGCATGAAACGACTGTTTCAAAAAGTTCTCGACAAGACGGCTTCAACGCCGCCGTTTCCGGTGCTGCCACTCTTCTGCTGTGTAAATATCGAGCTTGGAAAATCGGTCCAGGGGGTATGATATCTTGTGTCACCTACGGTACCTACATGAGCGTAGCTTCGGTCTTAACCTGAGCCGGAGATGGGTAGGTTTTCGACACGTTAAAGGATGACTTTGTGGCAAACGCTCTTCTTCAGATGTCGTATTGCTTTGTTGTTGCCTGTGGTTGGACGTCGGAAAAATATCAAGATACGGCAGATGGAAGCAGCACAGAGCAGCAAGCACATAGATGCTGCTGCAGATCTGGATGCTGATGCGGCCGTTGAGTGGCAATCGTTTTTTTTCTTGTGTGTCAACACAGTCAGCGGTTCCGGTCATCTCGAAGCTGTGCAAAGTAAGCCTAGACCTACATGCACCTAGATGCAGCTAGATATTCCACGCTCTTCGTACATGAGCAGTACACGCGAGCACGCCTTACCCAACGGCAGGTGCGCACATACAAATTGTTCAGAGCACGAGCAGGACGCGCTCTTTGTATTGATTGCTTCCGTACGGTTTCGCGCATTTCTTCTCCTTCCCTGCACACCATGAGTCTCCTGTGCGCGCAGAAACTACTCCACAGAACACACGAACAGGCAGGCTCTGCAAGTCTGCACAGCTCTGGCTCAGTCCGCAAGCAAGGTGTACCTCCAAACCGTCAAGCAAGAACTGAGGCGCGCGCGCGCCGACAGCACGGCATGCTTCCCGAACCCTCCGGAAACCCCACCCCCGAACCCCCTGAAGATCCCTTCGCACGATCGGTAATCCGACCTCCCCCTCGATCCTACGAGAAGCACCACAGGCTCATTATTCTACACCTCTGGGTACGGTGTTCATCGTTCGTTCCTATCTGGCAGGCTGAGCGTCGACATCCTTGGGTCCGGGGGCCGGTGTACACCATGATAAGACGAAACGTTGTGTCAACAACACCGAGACCTAGACTAGACTCGATGCATGCATAGAAAGAACCAGTTATGCAGGTTTGCGTTCTTTGTTTTTCTTCGTGCAGGAGTTGCACTGGCTCTTTTGCAGCCTCAATTACATGGATACGTTCGTGGGTTCCGGGGGCCGGTGTAGACCATGAGATGAAGCATTCGTTCGTGTCAACAACACTGGAGACCTAAATGAAGAACCCTTTTAACCCTTCCCAGTACTGAAAGCCTTTTGGGGGACGATTTGGGGACACTTTGGGACACAGCACTCAAAGGCCTGTTTACGGCATTGTAGTCAACCTAGGCTCTCCGCTGTATGCACCGTACGTGAGAAACCTTGGTCTATCATGCTTGGCTGAGGTGGTACGCCGTGTATGCTGTGTGATGCATCTCCTGGGCCTCTAACTTGCTGTGCACATCTCCCAACCCGCGTGCCCCCCAGTTCGCAAAACCGTACATCGCCTAGTAGTACTGGAAAAAATTAATTGCTGACTTGGCTTCAGTATGAAGAGTGTCCCACGTGTTTTGGGGACACTTTTCATTCTGAAGCCAAGTCACCCTTTGTCTGGCAAGGAGCTCAGATTCTTCGGAGTTGTTGTTGTTGTTGTTGTTTCTCACATTAGCTCTAAAAAAAAAAAGATTGGGAGCCCGTGGTCTCAAAACCCGGCATACACGACCCCACGAAGAAACAGAAAAAATAGGGTACAAAAACCACTCGGAAGAGAAACAAAATGATAGAAAGAAAGACCAGCTACCGCACCAAACGAGAAAGAGCGTCGAGGAGACCGATCAAAATAAAATAAAAGGAGAACGGGGAACGCTTCCCACACCCGCCTACAACGCCGGAGGGTTCCGTGCCGGGTTCCCGCCGAC